TGGTCGGACCCTACCTGGATGCAGGCGGAGCGCAGACGATTGAAACTAAATACGTCTCATGCCAAGGGCTCGCGGTTGTTGACGGGACGGGTGAAACCGGGTGGGGTGAGGGGGTACTCGGCATCTAGCCGTTGCGGGCCCCCGCGCCGCCCGCTGCTCGCCGGCGACGGCGGCGAGGTGGGCGTCGCGAGCAGCATGGCCGAGCACCTGCAGCAGGGCGAACGCCAGCAGGTAGAGGTAGAGCCCCGCCTGCGTCCCGGCTTGCAAGTGCAGCGAGGCGAAGGCGGCCGCGCCGCCGCCTCCTTCGCCGCCGCCGCCCTCGCCGCCGCCGCCCTCGCCGCCGCCGCCCTCGCCGCCGCCGCCAGGGCCGGAGGCGGGCAGGGTGACGCGCGTGTCCACGAGCGCCACCGAGACGAGGACGACGAAGAAGTCGAAGGCGAGCCACTTTCCTCCGAGCTCGAGGAGGAGGAGGAGGAGGCCGCGGCGGTGGGGGTGGAGCAGCCGCTCGGGCAGGAGCCACGCGGCGACGAGGCCCAGCGCCTTGAGGAAAGTGGATACGGGATCACACACACACACACACCTCGCCCACTCCGCTCTCTCTTCAATCTCGGCGAGTCTCGCCATCACCGCCCCTGTCGCCTCTCTCGATCTCGATCCGCGCCTCTCTCGGTCAAAGATCGCATCACACACACACACCTCGCCCTCCCCTCTCTCTTCAATCTCGGCGAGGCCCGCCTTGAGGAAGAAGAGGACGCATCTCGAGCGATCTCGCGTGGTGAGTGAGCAATCATGGACGGGCACACACACCTCGCACCACTCCCTCCCCCCCCCTCTCTCTCTGCCCCTGTGTTCATCAACGATCTCATCGCACGCAAACTCCTCTCGCTCGCCCCCCCCCTCCCCCCCTCTCTCTGCCGGCCGCCTTGAAGAAGAAGAGGACGATGGCCAGCAGCGCGAGCAGGCAGGCCAGCCCGTAGCTGCGCGCGGCCCAGTACTCGGCCTGCGCGCTGAATACACAAACCTCGGGGCGGGAAGGAGGGCTTGTACCGCGTGAGTGCGAGGGCAGTGAGGGCGAGCAGCAAG